TACATCAACATCACCACCCATTATCATCATTGCCATCATCATACTCGCGAAGGACTCCGCAAGGTGTTTCAGGCTCATTACTATTCATTCTATATTCTCCATTGGAGTAGTCCTGGCAAAAAAATTATCCAAAATTCTCCAAACGTTAGTAGTTCATCTTTCCTTAAATAACAGTAATACTTGCATATGATTGAATAGATAAACCTTTACCTTTCACCAAACAGAACCTAAAAATAAAACTGACGAGAACCCAGAACCAAAAAACAGAAAGAAAATAAAAAAAAAAAAAGCGGCCTATTGATTGTGTGATTAATTACGATACTGGTGCAACAATAACTGAGTCGATAACCAGTACAGAGATATGAATAAAACGAAAACCTAATAGCATAAGGAAGGTACTAACGCAGAAAACTAAAATTCTTATGCAATGTATAAGAGAAAAGAAAAGAAGAAGCGAGAAGCAAGAAGAAAAAGATGGATTAATTTTTCTTTTTCTAAGATATCGATTTTCTTTTTCACTTTCAATCCTCAATTAAATAAATTACTCCATAAACAGATAGCGAGAATGAGGTACCAAGTGAGGAAAAGAAGAAGATGGTTTTGGAGTAGCAGACCCAGGAGGTTTAGCCTTTCCACCGCGAGTTTTCATTCTCATTTTTCTCTGATTCAAGTTTCGAACTTCGCCAGCTTTTTATATATTCTTCTTTTTCACCGGGGCAACTACGGTGCTTTCGGAATTTTACAGACACGGGAAAGACCAATATTTAAGCAGAAGGTGGACTTGGGCTCTGGAACGAAAATGAGCCTGAACTTCTATAACCCATAATTTTAATTATCTTAACAGGAAGCTCAAGCGTCGAGCCATTTGTAAATTTGGGAGAAGTTACTGGCAAATTTATATTTACATCCGGTCTAATTTTTCAATTCGATCTAAAAAAAATATGATGATAGAACTCCAATCATCTCATATTCTCATGTCTAATTAATTCATTTCATTCCTCTTAAGTATTTTTTAAAAATGTTTTTATGTACTTATATATGTTATTATATTTAAAACAATTACAAATTTATAAATAAATTCTATATGAATTTTGAATTTGTTCAAAATTATGAACATGTCAAATTAATTTGGAAAATATGTCCAGTATTTGATAAGAAATCTAATATTCAGTATACATAGTCCTAAAACAAAAAACATGCTCCTATTTATGACTTGGATTAAATAGCATTTGAAGGGTAAGAAGATCTCCCGAAACAACAGCATCATCAAAAGTCTTAAGAAGCAATCACCAAGAACTATTTTGGTTCATTTCTACTTTCCTCTCCTCTATTATCTAATTACTTTCATGTCCTATAAAAATATAATTCCACACAAACCATTTGGAGCATGTACAAAACTTATAAATGAAGCTTCTAGTTTTAATCAAACATAACCCAGTCCTGGGTTATTCTGGTAGAAGAATGTAACGAAGCACGTAGGCTTTCGACACCAGACTCGAAGGTTGTCCACTTGGTTGTTACTGAGACTGCATTGTTGTTGCTGCTGAAGGGATTAGAGTTTCTTGCCTTCAAATTGTCAAGTCTGTCCACAAAACTCTGGATTCGGCGAACCTGTGTATTGACGGCAAAAAACTTTTAAAACTTGTCGTTCGGCCATCCAAGATATGTATCTTATAAGCAAATTTATCATTAAATTGAAATTCAAGTTATCAGTGTAGACAACAAACACTAATGTCAAATCAAACATACATAAATTCAAATTCTTGTTTGGAAGGAATACAATTTTCTGGGCCATGACAATGGAGCTTTTTAACGAGCATGAATTTTTAGTTCAACTTTCGCGTATCAAGGCTAAATAACTAACTGATATAGCAAAGATATATTTTCAATAGCAGAACTAATGGATTCATGAGGAAAATTCTCCAAGGTACTCTAAAAAGTTCTACTTGAAACTAGTCCACAAGTTGAATCTAAAATCTTTGGCCTCTGATACTGAAGTTAAAAGATATTATGAGCACTGAAAATTTGTGAAGTAGGACCACAAAAGAGGTGCACTTGTGACATAATTAATTGATATTTTCCTGGAAAATAAAAGTCATGTAATTTCATTCTATAGAAGTATAAATACCAACAGTGTTTGCCATTTAGAGGGGAGCCTCTTACTCAAGCTTTTCCTCAGGTGAAAAAGCACTGCAATTTGATTATCACCGACCGTGGTCCATAATCATGTGCACCAACTAAGAATGTTAAAAGAAACAAGACAACAGAAAAGTTGGGATCCAAAGAACACCTTCAAAGCTCAAAAGAACCCAAGTGATAATAAAAAAGAAAAAATTTAAATCTTTTCTTTTTCTTTTCCACTCAGGTTCTGTTGTGGGGACTCCAAGTTTTACCACTTCAGGGGTCTCAATCATCTCAAGCAACCTGTTTCTACTTTCCAGCAGTCCTACGTTTGTAAAGACACTACAGATCACTCAAGCTTTTTGGCACATGAAGACCAAGCATCTCTTGTAAACTTTTATATTGAAATTAACTGAAGTCTAACTCAATAAACCATATAAAGATATCTTTTGTATAAATTTATATATTTCAATAATTGAGTATATCAATAAAAACACAATTAAAATTCTTAATGAGAAAATAACACAATCAATTTTTAAAAGAGGATACACAGAATGCAAAGGCTGACGTGAATCCTACAACCTCATAGAAATAAGTGGAAGTACCAAAGGCTCGACTAAGAATGATTAGTAAACTACAAATAGACATTAAGAAATCCCAGAGAGCTTTAACACTTATTATTAAGGGTTCATTTCGGAGAGGCAATGGTCAACAAAATATTAACTTTCATACATGATACAACTATCATGCCAAATTATTAACTTTCTTGTTGGGTCATGTTAATTATATAATATTCAGCTATGAGGGTCATACATGATACAACTCTCATTATCCTCTCTTCCTCTCTCTCAAACGGACTCTAAGATTTAAAAGCAAATGGAATCAAAGGTAATCACAGAATAAGAACATGGCTAATAGAGTTGAAAACAAATATAGCATGGTGGATAGAGTAGTGACTGATAACCTCAATTCGCCTCTGCACTTTGGCTTCTCCATCAGCCTCAATGGTATCCAACTTAAGCAACTGGACCATAAAAAATTCCGCCAAGATAACAAATTCTTTATCTGCAACCTTCGTTCCACGACAAACAGTTGCTTCCAATGCAATAACCTAAAAATATAAACAGCAAACTTAGTGGGAACTTCATAAACCAAATGTTTCTAATAAGTAAATAGATTTATGCAGGCTACTTAATTGATTGATTCATTAGATTAACCTTCTCTGTCAACTTATCAACCTCAGCTCTGACTTTGGCAACTGCCTCATAGGCTTTCATTATACTCTGCTTTCTCCTCATTTCCTCAAGCTTTCTCTCTTTGCTTGCTGGGTCTTGTAATAGTATCACTTTTGACATATCTTTAACGCCCACCATGTGCAAAAATTCTTCATCATCCTTTTCTTTGCCTCTAAATAACAATCTCTGTTCCTTGGGCTCCAAACCAGTCTCATTGGCAAGAACCCTCTTTAATTCCCCTTCCATTTGAACCAAATATGTCACAATTGATCATCAATTTCACAATGCAGAGTAAACACAAGTGATGAAGCCTAAACCATCCAAAAAACCGACTTGCCAAACTTTTTAAGATGAACAAACAATTCCATTAAAAAAAAAAAATTTAAAAGGGGGAAATGAGGCCTACATGTTAAGAATCATTAGACAATGAACATGAAAAGGCAAAGACTGAAAAACCATTGCATCTGAAAATTATAAAATAAAAATCCCAAAAAGGTTTGGGGGGTTAGGAAATCTTCGACTTTAGAAAACATTCTCCTTCCAGAAAATGAAGAAATGTGTAAAGCAGTACTTTAATTCCTTACGACCAAACAACACACCAATTCACCAGCATGAAAACCAGAGTACTATCGAGCTTGTGTAAGAGAATCGATATATACATATATATATATATATATATGTATTATAAACCTTCTCAGCCAATGATCAAAAACTTACACAAAATCTCAGCACAAAAAAAAAACCCAGAAAACACGGAAAGGAGGGGGGAGCTGGGGAACGGAAGATGATTACCAAAAGTTGATTGAGCGGGGACGGTGATTTCATGGTGATAAGAGCCATGGGAGACCTTAATCTTGATCATGGGGCCAGCAGATGCATTCCCGGCATTTCTCTTCTGCACAAGCATGCCACCGGGTCTGAGCTCCCACTCTATCTCCCTCTGAACCCCATGATTAACAACAACGCATTTTGAAGGTGATGATCTTTTCATACTCGAGGCAAAATAGTTTAAAAAGGATCACATCAAACCCACCGAGGATTCCCGCAGAAGAAAATAAAGAAAAAAAAAAAGGGGGGGCGTAAATTGGTTGAGAGAGGTGGGTGTGATGGCGAAGATTATTGAGTAAGCAAACAATTAACAAGAACATACTTGGGGACGAAGACCTCTCAACAGTCTATATATAGACATCGTGAGTGGTTGGTTTCATTTCGACGTAGGATAAAATAATTTCTTATTTTAATTTTTAAACTAACATAATAAAATGTAATTTTTATTTTAATTATTGAATTTTAAAATTTGAATATTTTTAAATACATAAAAATAATGCAGAAGAGTATTCCCTAAATATAAAGAGTTAATCCAAAAGAAGAATAGATGATATTATTATTTTTAGAAAGTAATAATTTATTATAAAAAAATTAAATTAAATTTGAAGAGACTGATGGGTTCCACCCGGGAGGAATTTTATAACTTGTTATGGCCTACGTTTGTTTTAGTCAATTCTCAATTATTAATGGCTTTTTTTTTTTTTTAGAGCAAAATAAAATCTGTTGTTTAGATATAAATATTTTTTTATTATTTTGAATATATTATTAAATTAAATAATATTTTTTGTAAAATAAGAAATCATGCCTCCTGTATGAAACTAAACCTGGTTAGATCCCAAATTATTTGGCACGTACATCAAATAAATTCAAGGAATTGTCATCTGTTAAAATCTGGATTTTTTACTTTACGGATAGGGTATTAAATTTTGGATTTTTTAATGCTATTACAATAAATAGATGACAAAATATTTGTACAATTTACATACATACATACATACATATATATATATATATATTTAAGAAAGTCACTGCATTTATTTTGTGTTAATCTAACTAGACTTTTAAAGTCTTTTCCAAATAAACCCTGACATACAAATCATTTGATTGTTTATTTGAAGAAAATTTGAAAGCAAAACACCAAAAATAGACATAAAATTATTGCAGACTTATCCGGGGAAAAATAAAAATAAAAATTTGAATTGTATAATGCCTTCTAAGGTACTTTATTCTTAAAATATATACTAATTGGTGTATAAAATTATATAATTTGACGTGGTGTTTGGTCTAAAATTATTATACTGTTTATTTATTTTTAATTAACGGCTTAATTATAATAATTAAAATATTAAAGACTAAATTAAAAATAGAATAAAAGGTGTTATATCATTTTCACAACCGAGCGTGATTATTGTTATTAATTATGGGTTAGTACACCCTTGTAACACATAAAAATATATATTCATAGAATGTAAATACAAAGTCCCAAAAAAAAAAAAAAAAATTAAGAATAAAAACCAATTAAAAATGTGAACTAAATTTATCATGTGAACCAAAACTAAAAAAGCGAAATTACTTGTTTTAATCCAATCTTTTTGTAATATAAATACATATTATATGAATAAATTATCCATGCTATTTATTAGATATACGTATGTGTATAATGTGGGTAGATTAAATTCATCCATCTACATGGCAGCATGTCATCAAGATTGATGACAAGGTTCCACAACATGTTACAATTTAAAAAAAAAAAAAAAAAAAAAAAACTTGAAAGCCCAAAATTGGGGTTGGTTGTGTAATTACCTTGAATTCAATTGGGCCTCTTTACAATGGAATTCAATTGGGCCTCTTGTATGTTTTTCTCTTTTGCCCTTTTCCCCCCAAATGCCCATTTAATGAATGATAATTTATGGACCTCTTTTCATATCAAATTACCTTTTTTAAAAAAAAAAAGAAAAGAAAAAGAAAAATCAACAGACAATTGGGTTTAGGCCTGTGTTTTTCCATTTTTTTTTTTTTTTTCATATATACTCTCCCGTAGTTACAAAATAATCATCTACCATTACTTAATTTGAATTGGTAAGACAAAATTTAATATATCTTTTCATTTGTACAAATTAAATTCAAAAGAAAAAAAAAATGTTTGATGATAGAGGGAATCAATTAAATGAAAATTTTAAATGGATAAAAAAAAAAAAAAGTAATAATGTATTATGTATGTATTCATGTTTACGTATTAAATGGATAATGTGATGGGGTTGCAAAAAAAGAAGAAGAAAAAAGTTGGGTAAAATCGACAGCATAAAATGCACTTGCAATTGGGTTAGTAGTGTCTTTGGTTGCGTATCCATTTTGTCTTTATAGTTTTGTGTTTGTTTGTGTGTTAATGGTGTTGTTGCCCAAAAAGCAAATAATGCCCCCTCCACTCTCTCCCCCCCCCCCCCCCCCTAAAAATCAATTCCAATTTATTTATTTATTTATTTATTTATTCATGCTTGCTCTTCTAAATCTTTCTCCAATCCAATTCCTTGGACGAATGACACCAATTGGGTATGTGTTATGAATCGAGTATAATTGTTATATTGAATTTCATGCGTACGTATAGAACAAGATAAGGACACATGCCCTAAAGAAAATTTAAAAAAAAAAAAAAAAAAAAGAAAAGATTAATTATATATATATATGTGAGGTCCCTCCAATTTTCTCATTCGTGACACTTACAAGGTAGTGATTGGGTCATACTCGTTGTAGAGTGGCATCTAGAATGTAATTTTTATACAAGAATTAGTCATAACCTTGATCATTAAAAAGAAGACTTAAAATTAATAACTTGACAAATTATTTTTTTATTAAATAATTAGTATTTTGAATGGAGTTTTAATGTACTTATTTTGTTACATGATAATTAATAAATAAATAAACTTATTATTTATATATATTTTTTAAAAAAACATAAAAAAAAAAAAAAAAAAAAAACTAACATCATGTGTTGATAAGTTTGATTCAAAAAACAGAAGAAGAAGAAGAAGAAGAAAAAAAAGAAGAGCAGCAGCCATGGAATTGCAAGAGATTAAACCCCACCCAATTGGATAACTCCAAAAAACAATCCCCTGCCTTTCTCTTTTTTCTCCCCTCAAGAGATTTAAAAGGGTGGGGCCCACCAAACTCTCACCACAAATGTGGGCCCCCACTAAAATATTATACATTCCTCGTGTGTGTGTGTGTATATATACACACACACAATGTAAAAAAAAGAAAAAAGAAAAAGGAAACATGTAGACAACATAATGAAGGCAAAGAAAACAGGAAGAAGACAATGCTGTTCAGGTTATTATTAAAGGAAGCACTTTGGCCTTCAGCTCCACCACCACTCTTCCAACTCTCAAAGACATTCCATAAGGGGTGCCCCGACCCGAATTCCGCGGGTGCGCCCCCCCGTTTATTTCGGGGATTTATCTTCTTTGTAATTATTTTTCATAAAAATTAAAAGCGGAGAGGACCCAATTTTTCTTGTTTTATTGTTCCCTAAAAGTTTCCGACTTTTGATTTTATTAGCAGTTAATTTATCTTGTAATTTCCATATGTTTTTAATGGATAACTTAATATACGTATGCCACATATATATATATATATGATTTTAAAAAGTTTAAATGCTTTAACACACATATATTTTATAGTTGTATGTATCTATTTCTATATAATGCAAAGAGTGATGTTACCATTAATCAATTATATTAATATTACAGTTAATGGCGCAGTGCAGCAAGTGAGATGTTGACACGTGCCCACACTGCGCATAAATGGGGGTTTATACGTACTAATAATGATTATGATAATGATGATTAAGGAAGGACTTTGTTGGGACTTAAAAGTGGCAAGTGAAAGAAAGATGACAATAGCGACGGGTTACAGTTGCAGTATAAATTTCTTTTTAATTCTAAATAAAATTTCGCTAGTTTTGAAGTATTTATTTATTATTTTTTTTTACAAAAAAAAAAAAAAAAGAATTTAAGTTATGAAAGTTTTTTTTTTCTTTTTAATTTTATGTTTTTCTTTGGATTTAATAAAGTAATACCTTGTAAAGATCAAAGAAATGTGCTTCAACTTGTTTACAAGTACCAAATAAATATTCTTTTAATCTGAAAAAAAAGTGGTGTGTGATATTTTTAGATAAGTTCGCTATTTATATTTTGTTATTACATTAGGAGCATTGTTTGATGCAAAACAATAGGAATTTGAGAGCAAGCGTGACGATTCATTAGATTGTATGAATAATAGAATAAACAGTTCCCCTTTGAGATAATGATATCATCTATCTATTGCAAACTATTTTATTATTTCATATTAACAAAGATATCATCTCTTCTTGTTTCTTCAAGTTATTTACATATTGTTGTCGTTTCGATAAAACCATGTAAAAAAAATATTTTAGAGACTTATGCACGAGTGTCGAACCAAGTGATTAATTATGACAAATCAATGATAAATTTTAATAGAAGTACTCATGCAAATCAGTGTAATAATTTGTAAATATTTTAAGTGTGGTACGAGTTTAAGATAATGGTAGATATTTTAAAATGTTATTCAAAAACACATTGTTAATGATTTTTTGTTATAAAGTATCTCAAAAACTAAAAAAACTAATAGAAAATATTTTTTAAAAAGCAGGTCTGAAGATGATAATAAAAAAAGTACTCCAAGATATTATGTCTTATTTAACGAGTGTTTTTTATATTTTAGAAGGCCTTATGAAAATATTATAAACATGATTGCTTAATTTCGATAAAATTATTGGGAGAGGGAAAAGAAATATATTTGTTAATTTTTTTTTAAAAAAAAAAGATTATCTAACAAAAAAGAGAAAGATAAATTGGATTTTTATGACTTATAGTGTCTTAATCAACCTCTCATTAAAAAGCAAGAGTAGCATTTTTTATAAAATCAAGGTTTCATCTTGTAGTTTAGACCTTATAAATTCTATATTTTAATTGCACAAATTTTTGTGAGTTATAAATTATCTGATGATAAATTAATTTCACATCATTTTACGAATGATTCGCGTTTAAAATTAAGTTATTAACTACGTAATTAGAGTAATTTTTTTAAATATTTTTTAGCATAACTGAGATTGAAAGAAGTTAGTGGCGGTAAAACATACAACAAATACAATAAAAATTCATTTATAAATTATTATTTTTTTTCTCAATTACACATATTAACCTTAACTTTATTTATTTTTGTCGATATAAAGTTTTGGCTTTAAAAGCAAGATCAATATTGAATAGTGAAAACCCACTTTCTATATAAGAAATTAATTTGATCTTAAAAACTCTTGCAAAATACCACCATGTTTAATTGTCGATTATCAATCAATCGTGCTTTCTCCTTAGTTAACTACTCAAACAAGGCTTTGTTGATGCCGAAAACAACCTATAGTGACCAACAACTAAGACCTCAATTTGGTACATACATTGTATCTTATTTTTCCAAGTACTATGATGGAGAAATTTTTTGACCAATGAATATTGCTAAATTATTTGTTTTATCATTTTCTTTAACATGAAAATTAAGTTTCAGATAATAATAAAAAAATTTATTAAAAAGATGAAAATAAACACACAATTGTAATGCTATTTTCATTTAAATTTATATCTTATTTCTAATGTATTATTATTTTTATTTATTAAAATTAAAAATCAAAGTTAATTCAAACTTGAAATCTAAAAAATCATCCAACTTGAAAATCTACTCTTTTAATTTCTTGCCAACTAAGTTTATTTATATAATCAACTTTTTAATAAAAATATGCATATAAATATAATTAAATTCAAATCAATATACTTATTATAAAGGAGAATTAAAATGATAACTATAATTGTATTATATAAAAATATAATTCGATTCGAATCAACACGCTTATAAAATAAATAAAAATATCAAACCATAATAATGTTTAAATTGAGTAAAGTAAGCAATTAGCTAAAACGCACTTAATGAAGCGAGCAGATATAATATAATCATAATCATAATCATATTTATTTTTTTAATTAGTAGAAAGGGAAGATTGATTTTAGTGGGGCTTTTTAACTTTCACTGTCGAATCTAAATTCCATATAGAAAGGGTTTTATTGGACCACACTCCACAAACAACCAAATCCTTAATAAAATATTACAAGTTTTTTGTGTGTATGAACAGAAAAATATCAAGATTTAAAATAATAATAATGGAAGGATTATATTTTTGATACATTTATATATATATATATATATATATCTAACAATTGTTTGTATTATTACTATTAGGATATAAATGAAATGCCCTTTGCTTATTTGTATTTATTGTTGTATTTTTTTTAAAAAAATACAAAACTTTATATATAAATAAAATACTAATTCTTTTAAAAACGTACAATTTGATTAAAATAATTAAAAATAAACAGCTTAAGCATTATAAAATTATATATATATTAATAATGGGTTGCAATATGGGCCATTTACTTCGATTAATTAATTAAGATGCACAGATATTTACTTATACACATGCAATATACGGTGAACACGTAGCCATGCTGCCAACTAAATTAAAAATAAGTGTGAATCAATACTAATAATTAATGATTGATTAAATTAATTAATTAGTATATGATTAGATAGATATTTATGACATGATCATAAGTTTTGGCCGACTGTACGGCTTTACACTAATGAGATTGGTGGGGTACGTGTCTGGGTTCTTATCACATAAAAGGCCCGATACTAATAACAATTTATATGACTAATCACATGACTAATTAAACTCAATATATTGGGTTCGGTCATATTATTAGTTAGGCACCTGGATTAATATGGCGTGAGGCTGAGGTTATCCTAACGTCGGTGATTTACATATATATATATGCACTGGATATACGCACCTGCTGTTTATTACTTTCAAAATCCTGTCACGATATAATTTTGTATAATTCTATTAATCAATTTGATTTTTAATTCGACAAAAACTGAAGGAGTTAACATATTTTAGTTTTAATTTAATTATTTTGAGAGAAATGAAAATTATTTTCAATTTTAGTAGATACGAGAGGAACATATTTTATACCATAACATTATAGGTTAAAAAAAATGTTGCGGGATATTTATTGGTTCCTTTTAAAAAAAAAAATTAAATTAAATTAAATTAAATTAAATTAATAAAACCAAATTTGATTGGTGTAAATCTACGAGCTGATAAAAGCGAGAAAAAAAAAATAAAATAAGAAAGAATCGCACACAAGCTAAACGACAAAAGACCCGTACATTATATACATATATTAAAAAATATGTATATATATATATATATATATCCTATTATTAAACACACCTTTTGTCTAGCTAGCTAGTCATTAATATTTTTGAAGCCTAGGTTGATTTTTAGAAGGAGAACATTCCACGTCTTGCCACTCTCTCTCTTAACCCCCTCCATATATAAATATATCATCACCCATATCAACTTTCAAACCAAAATCCTGACCTTCTCACTCTCTCTATCACAAAATATAAAAGCATTGCTATAGCTATACATATAGCTAATTTCGCTGAAAGAATTTTTCTCGGTTACATGCATAAGAAAGTTGATCGAGAATACCTATTCCTAAAATTAAAACAGAAAAGTGGAAATTATCTTGATATTGAGCGTTGGAGTCAATCCTCTTCTCCTATTATCATGATAAGAAGAAGAGAAGATTCCTTTTGTTTCATGTAAATTTAAAATATAACATATATATATATACATATGTGTGTGTGTCAAGTAGGGAACTGTATAATAGCAGTAATGGGTTATGAGGAAGTGGTTATACGTAGCTATGACGCCCAAATTGACAGAGCTGGAGTTGAAGATCTCGAGAGACGATGCGAGGTAGGCCCAGCCGATCGAGTCTTTCTCTTCACAGACACGATGGGTGACCCCATCTGTAGAATCAGAAACAGCCCCATCTACAACATGCTGGTATACTAATACATATACATATACATATATATGTATTTTAATACTTAATTTCAACCTCTTCTCTTCTTCTTCTTCTTCTTCTTCTTCTTCTTTTCTTATTATTTTGTCAATCAATTTGGTAAAAGGCTGATCATGTTTTGGTGAGATGTTGTTATGCGCAGGTGGCAGAGATTGGAAAAGAGCTGGTTGGTGTCATTCAAGGTTCGATAAAGCTGGTTACGTTTCATAAACCCACCATGGACAATCTTGCCACGGTGGGTTACATCTTGGGACTCAGAGTCGTTCCTATTTATAGAAGAAAAGGGATTGGTCTGCGACTGGTTCGGAAGCTCGAAGAATGGTTCATTTCAAACGACGTCGATTATGCATACATGGCCACAGAGAAAGACAATGAAGCATCCGTGAGATTGTTCATGGACAAGCTCGGTTACGTCAAGTTCAGAACCCCAGCGATCCTCGTCAACCCGGTCAAACACCGCATGTTGTTACACTTACCATCGACCGTCGAAATCGCTAAGCTGAACGTCGACGAAGCCGAGTATCTTTACCGGCGGTTCATGGGTTCGACAGAGTTTTTCCCGGCGGATATAAACGAGATATTAAGAAACAAGTTGAGCTTGGGTACATGGGTGGCTTACCCTAAAAATGATCATCACCGCTCGTGGTACTGCGATGACCATTTCGGGTCGAATGGACTACCAGATAATTGGGCAATGGTAAGTGTATGGAATAGCGGGGAGGTTTTCAAATTAAGATTAGGAAAAGCTCCATTGTCGTGCTTGCTGTACACGAAAAGCTCGAGACTAATGGACAAATATCTGCCATGTTTGAAGTTACCGGCACTACCTGATTTTTACGACCCGTTCGGGTTTTATTTCATGTATGGAGTTTACTGGGAGGGTCCATCGGGTTCGAAGCTGGTGAGGAGCCTGTGCCAAGTCGTGCACAACATGGCCACAAAGTCGAAGGACTGTAAAGTTATTGTTACAGAAGTTGGTGGAAGCGACAGAGTGAGAGTTCACATCCCACATTGGAAACTACTGTCATGTCCAGAAGACTTGTGGTGCATAAAATCCATGAAGAAAAACCAAGATTTCACAAAAATTACTATTACCCCACAAGGATCAGGAGGTCTTTTTGTAGACCCAAGAGAGGTATGAGAACAAACTATAACCCTTTTTCCTGTTCAATGAGAAATTATTTCATACGAAGAGTACAGGTTGATATAATGATATGAAGACTTGTTATCAATCAATTTTTAAACAATATTTAATCATTATATCTAAAGTTACATAAATATATATATATTTTTTTTCTTTGATGGGTCGTAAAATCAATGATATATTCGTTAAACAAAAATAACTTTTTTCTTTGACAAGTCATGAAATGAAATCGATGATTAGTTTGGAGTAACTTTTTTTTTTTCGAAGAGGTCAATGTGGGTCGAAAGGGGTAATCTTTTTTTTTTGGTTCTCGACTGAGTCGTGAAATCGATGATTAATCTGGGGTGGGAGGGTTTAATCTGTTGTTGCTTTCACATTGGTGACAGAAAATCTATCAAGATTTCCTTAATTAGGTGCCACCCTAAGTGTCCTTGTTCACAACTGAAATTTGTTGTCTCATGATTTTGACTAATCAAAGAAGCTTAGTGGTCCATCTTTGTTCTTGTTCCCTTCTCCTTCCCGGTGAGAACAAGGATAAAGCAAATTTATGGACCCTCTACCATTTCCCTCTGTCCCCTCATAACAACAAATTATTAATCATAATTAAGCTAATGATAATAATAATTTCTGCAATTTAGTCTCTTAACATTTACATTCCATATATCACAATTTTTTTCATAAGATTAATAAATATATATATTTATTTATAAACGTTTATGCCAATTTATTTAATTACCTCGTGGAAAATGAGTGGTAGCTAGAGGTACTTACTATGGTCAAGGAATCCCAATGACAGTCATAGGACATCATGCAATCTTATATCTAATGTATCCATTTGATATGCGTCTATCACCCCATAATTAATCTTGTCATCTACTACCTATTTTCTCTATCACTGCTAAAGAACATTATTTGTAGTAAAAATTCCTTGCTTACTTTTCTTAATTAATTTCACATATTTGAACTGACTACAAATTTTTAGTCGTACACCTAATTAGACAGACAGGATCTTATATTCAATAGTAATATTAGATAAGTAAAAATTTCTAATGGAAAAAAAAAAAAAAAAAAAAAAATTTAATGTAATTAAAAAAGATATGAAAAATTCTACCCTGTATAGAATTTTATTGGGTACATTTTCTCTCAGTTGATTGATACCATAATTATTTGTGTAGCATAATAGGGAAGATGCCAAACCTCATTATAGCTATTAAATTTCTATTAATAATTAGTAGACACTAGCTACAGACCACTAACCATAACCCTAATTCTATAACCAAAATTGAAATTAGGTTGTGGTTAGCTAGGGGTTTGAAGTCATTAGTCAGAACTTTGGTTAAATTAGATAAAACAGATATATCTATTTTCACCTCCTAAACAAAGAATGGATGCCCCTTAGTGAATTCCTCTTTTTTTCTTTTAATTAATGACGAATGTGTAATCGTATTCGTATATGCATTTTTAAATGAACTTGGTATCTAATTGAATTTTCTGTCCTTGAGTGGCAGGTTAATTTTTTGTGTTATTATGACGTATAATATAAGATTTGTTGGTATGACAAATTAAATTTACTTCTTCTACTTTTATGTATCTTAAATCTGGTAAAATTTATTAAAATTATCAGGAAATTTACAAAAGTTCAAAGAAAATTATATAAAATATTTTTTTTTGGTTGTAATTTTACATTTTTTTTTTTTAATGAGAATGTAGGTTTAAGTTCAATTATGATAATTATATTATTATTTTTATATAAAATTGATTGTGTTATTATTATTGTAAAAATATCTTAAAATTTTTGGAAGAAAATAATCAAATTTATTTTACTCTACAGCCCTTAGTGAGTTGGAGAAACATGCAACTACGCGATGTGGGTAATTTTTATGTGAACATATAAATTGCATGTATGCCTCTATATATATATATATATATATATATATATCCAAGACGGTGGAGCACTTAATTTAATTAAATAATAATTAGGGGATTCCTGAATTATTTAATTTTCTAAGGTGATCTTAGGTTTGAATATTATACAAGATGATGACAAAGTTCGTATCGATAATAACGCATGATGAAATTGTGTTCACAAACATTCAGAATCTAATACAGTATCCACAATAATGCTTATATGTATGCCGTCATATATGGGACATTAACATCATATAATCTTTTTACGAAAAGGTGTAGCGATAATATGTGCTTTTTTTTTTTTTGTGATCATTAAATTATATATTATGCTAAGATTATTTCATAATTTAATCATATTAAAAAGAATTGATGAAGTAGGATTTCTTTTTAAAACAAATTTATCCAAAAGATACATTTATTATTTAAACATCAAAATTTTCATACCGTAAAAATTCTTATGGGACAATATGTTATTCAAATTCCACAAAATTTTAACTTCATCAAAAAAATCTTATTTTCACTTAAAATAGTAAAAATTTCAATTATTTCTCTCTAGGGGCCCTCGATCGTTCTCAGAATGCAGCAAATAATTATAAAAATCATACATTTTATTTTTATTAACAATTTAATTATGAACGCTAACTGCTTAGATGACGATGACGATGATGTACTACTAAATAAACTCTTTGTATGTTAAAATTTTCAATATATTTTAGAAATTAAAAATGAATCGTAAGATCCAAAACAACCTAAAAAAATACGAAACCATGATTACCATTGTATGCTAACTTGGTATTGATATATATTTTTTTTTTGTTTATATTAGTTTTTTCAATACTTCAATATTGTGATTAGTTACTAGTTCTAATTTGATACAAGTTTATAAATATATATTTTTTTAAAATTAGTCGAAACATATTTTTATTTTACAAGAATTATTGCAACAAATGCTTGTCAAAAAGCTTTTCTAACTAATCAGAGATTTTAGTTTATTATTTATTATTAGAAATCTTAGGTCTTTATTGGATAACGGGTAGTTTCGAATTTCAGAATTTGTTTGAAATATTCAATAACTTGATTTGTATACGTATAAAAAAGATTTAGAGAGAGAATTAATTTGTAAAATAAATATTAAGGAATAGCTAGAAAAAGGAGGAATTTTGGTGTCCTACTTTCTGGTTCATGAAGCCCAAAGATGCAGGTAAGTGAGACCCATTACGATGTACCTGACCTAATGGTTATAGGCCTTTCAGCCCATTTCAATTTTGGGCCTCTTCAGACCACTTTCTGAATTTATGTAGATATTCCCGTCAAACTTAACTTGAGGCTAAATTTTAATTTAATTTATTGTTCTCTTCTAGAGATGTTGCATAATTGAGCTGAACTGAACTGAGTTAACATTCTCTATGAATTTTACTAATTATAGATTTAGTAAATAATTATATTTTTGTTTGTATTCGTTTTTATGATTTTATTGAGTACTTTTAATTTTACAATATGGTTTAAAAATAAATTAGTCATCTAAAATTTGTTATAAATT